TAGGCCAGCTTTAGCAGTTTCAGCCATTAATAGAGTTAACCAGCTCTCACTCTCTCTCTTTCCCTCTCTCTCTCTAACACTGTGCCTTTCAAATAAATAAATCTTTTAAAAAAAGAAAAGGAAAAACATAAAATGTTCATGAATAATGCTGATAGCTAATATTGGCTTATTGACATGGCAATCTCCAAAAAGTTTCCTGGCTGAGCTTATCTCAAGAGGGAAAGGCACCTAAGGTCTGTTAGGGGCCTGCTGCGAACAGGAAGAGGAAGCAGGCATCTAGTCAGGCATTGATATGCCTATCTCTCACATCACAGGAACTGGCTCAAGACCCTGATCCCAGCTTCCTGCTAAATACGCAGCCTAACAGACAGCAGGTGTTGCACGCAGGCAGATCCCTAACGTTCCTACAGGAGACCTGAATCTAGTTTCCAGCTCTTGAATCCATCCTGGCCCAGCCCCAGTCACAGAATGCATTCGAGAAGCAAACTAGTGGATAGAGTATGTTCTCTCTCTTTCTCTCTCTCTCTCTCTCGTAAATATTTTAAATAAAAGAGGAAGAATCTTCTGTTGTCTTTTTCTACGGTCATTTTCTATTAGGTGCAGTAGCTATGGTGGAATCACGTTTCCCATCAAATTTTATTTATTCATGAAATAGCCTTGTCTATATAGTGCTTTGTGATTTTCCGGGCATTTCCAAATATACTTTGATTTTGAAAGCCAATATACAAGGAATGCAAACTGTTAATTATTCCCACTATTAAGTTAGTGATGCTCAATTGATCCATCCCCAGGTCCAGAACTAACAAGTCATATATTGGGCTTATTCACTCCATTCATTCATATTCATCCATTCATTCAAGTAACAAGGATTATGAACTAAATGATCATGAAAGCATAGCAACTGCCTCAAGAAGCCCACTGTTTCATGAGATACAAAAAAAAAAAAACCTGCAAACCAGTGATAACTCCACCATGACCAGAAGTTAAAAAAAAAAAGGCATCGAAGTAAAAATTCTGAAGTGTGGGTTTTGACAGAGAGAGAGAAGTGACTAGGCCCAGAAGCAAGTGACTGGTGAGGAAAAAGACAAGTGTAGGTCATCGGGTCCTGCTCCAATAAAATGTGTGCATGAGTCCTGGCAGAAGCTGAGCGTATGAGGTCAGCAGCAGCCAAATCCAGGCCTTGACTGCCTCACCCTCTGGACTGAGCTAAGGACAGCCAAGGTGCTCAAGTTCAGAAATATGCTAATCTCCAAAAAGCTTTCTGGGCTGAGCTCACCCATATGCAATAAAGGCTGCTGGTGGCAAGCTTCATCTTTTAATCTTGTGATGTCTTGAAGCTAAATGACTCGAGACCTGGGCTTGAATGAGTAAATTGTTTGCTGTAGCCTATGTAGGTATACACACATTCTTCATACACCCACATGGACAGAGTTTACATCCATACATCTACATAGATGATAAAAAAAAAAATCCCCAAAGCCCTGTAAACCTCACATGCAGACACATTCAAATGATGTCCACGTCTGGACTGACCTCTTGGGACATGTTCAGATGGAGATGGGTTTCTGAGAGAGGTTACCCCTGCAAGACAGGCACCTGTCCTACAGGAGTCAGCCATTGATAGAGCCTGGACAAAGTAAATGCAGAGATGCATTCCAACTCCACAGTTTAGTGTCCTGTGAGCTTGCTGGCATGAAGCAGTTTTCCATTCTCAATAAATAAAATTCCATGGCCTCATTGAAATTATTCTTCTCTGCCATTTTGTTTGTTTGTGTTCAGCCAGATAAAGCACTATTGATTTCAGATTCAGCTACAGGTAATATGACACAGAGGAAAGAGCACTGAATAAGAAGTCAAGAAACCCAGATTCTCTCCTTCAACCACCCTTTCGGAGGGTGACCTTGGGCAAGGGACTTTAAGCTCTCTGGGCTTCTGCTTTCTGTGTGTTAAGCGAAAAGGGTGGCTTGGTGGTATGCAGTTCCCTCCCAGATCTAAATCTGGAATACCATCTCCTCCGCATCCCCACAATTCCATTTCTCTTCATGAGCTCTAAAGCCCAGGACTAAATAAACTGGATTCTGATTACCTATTTCCTAACCAAATAAGATCCTACTTCCTCTCACTTAGAAAAAAAAAATCCAAATCATGTATAATTTAAATGATCAGTACAGTCACTGGTTGTTCTGGTTTAAATTATGCATTGTTGCTATTTGGGGGAAATTTAGACTGGATCCCCAAGTATGGGATCACTGGCTAAGAACAATAAGCCCCCAAAGTGAGAGGGATAAAGGCCTATCCAGGCAGGATCTGCTTCTAATGCACTGAGCCCCAGTCTACAAAAAGGGCATTGACTGTGTACATTCAAGAGCCACAGAGACAGAAAGGGCCTGGTGAAGCTGCAGCAAATTCTCCTAGAAGCCACTGACCTTGGCTGCCTTTCAGGGGTCAGGCATATTCCCCAGGAGACGCTCAGCAGGCCAGCTTTCTTGAAAGCCGAGGAACGAGTGAGAATTCCACGCAGGAGCCCACTTTGTCAAATGTGGGAGTTCAGAACCGATCTGCGCTCTGATTACATACAGATCCCTGTCTGGCGGGTACACCTCACCCACCCCAAGGCTGCTCAAAGAAGCCAGGCCTCTGGGTATGCAAGTGGGTCCACCTGTGCATCAAAGCCTTTGGGCCAGCAGCTCCGGCGGCACCAGTGCTTGCTTTCCCTTCTCCCCATCTTCCACATCTCCAGCAGGCAGGCAGGAAAACAGTACAGAGAGCCCTCAGCTAGCCATCTAGGCCACAAAGGGCCATTTCAGTGCAATGTGCAACATTATCCTTTTCAGAGACAGATGGCATCAGCATGGATTTCCCCAAGTGTGAACGGCCCTGGAAGTCAGCCCCTCACCAGCCGGGAGCTCTCGTGGCTGCTCCCATGCCCAGCAGCCGGGAGCCTTTGTGGCTGCCCCCATGCCCACAGGCTCTAAGCTGGGGAGTTCAATATCTCAGGAAACCTGGTCCAGAAAAAAAACCCATGGCAGAAAAATCCAAACACAAGCTAAAATCTCATCAAAACACTTTCCACTAAAGGGGTGATGGCAAGCTGTGGGCCCAGGTACATCCCCAGCTAGCAGCGTTGCCCATTGTTCAGGTCTCTTTCTGCTTTGCTGATTGCCCCTCCTCAAGTCTGGCCATTCATCCACCTGATTAACTCGCTGGCAGCAACTCCCTGTGCAGAAAGTAGGACAAATGAACACACAGTCCATGGAGCGGGAAGCCACAGCCCGGGGCCCAAGCACCCAGCCTGCTGCTACCAGTCCCCACCCCCCACTGCCCAAAGGGCAGAAGACAGTGCCTGTGGCATTTCAGCGCCAGGCAAAGACACGGCTGGCTGGGCGGTAATGAGGAACCATGGAGCTGAGGCTGCCTGAGGACCACCACCGCCCATTTCAGAGCATCCGCTATTCCTTCCAACTCCATGGCAACCTCCTGCAAACCTCACCTCTTACACCAAGGCACTAAGCGGAAAGGGAAAGGGACAAGGCAAAAGTCAGAGGTTGGGAAAGGGGGAAAGTATCACTTTGATGTCAGATGCAGCTCTTTAAAGCATTCTTGTTGAAAGAGGTCATGCCAGGAGTACTAGGGATTCCAGTACGCAGCCTGGAGATGTAGCCTCGTACTAATAATGTGTTCTTCCGGAAGGCACCGTGAACTTGCACTTGCTAACCCCCCAGCAAGTTTCAGTGCCAACAGGCACCATCCACTCACATCCTGCCCATGGGCTGCACAAGTACATGCACTTGCTATGCTTCGTATTATTGTTGTTGTTGGTTCAGAAGAGAGACAGAGTTCAAGTTGGAGTTCAACCCTCAGATCGCCTCCTTCTACTGCCTCTCCTCTCCACCTACCCCTCATTCTTTTCTGGCAGACAGCATCTAGTCAAACTGGCAGAAATTAAAAAAAAAAAAAAATCTCCCCTCCTCAAAAAATGTGCTGGGATTGGGGGCTAAGGCTGAGGAAGCATCGAGGCAGCCGTGGAACTGTGAACCCCAGACAAGAGCAAAATGGATTCTATACCAGTAATGTCTTAGTCAATAGCAAGCCACGGCGTCTGAGGTAATGCACGCGGAGGTAAGGCGCAGAGCAGTGGGCTGGGGGAGGGAGGTGCTCTACAAAGGAGTGGCTGCTAGCCGGGGAAAACACACACACACACACACACACACACCATGCACCACACACTCTCCAGGGAGTTCCGGTCTGAGTGGGAACAGCAGCAAACACATCTCTTTCACCTGCTCAAGTTCAGCCCTCGAGCGGTAATGATCCAGCCACAAAGTAGGAAAGCTCTGGCAGGACCAGGGTAAAGCCATAAATAAAGGTGAGTGGCAGGCTCGCAGTTAAGGAAGGGGGCGCCAAAAGAAGGAGCCCCCGCGCGGGAGGATGGGGAGGGGAGGAGGGGACGGTCGCTGCCATCCCTACAAGACCCGCATAGCAATAACTGCCCCTTCTCCCCTCCCCCCCGAAGCGGCTGGCACGGCTATGCGGGGACAGCCCCGGTTCACAATGTCATCTCGCAGGTAGCTGGAAAACGTGAGGGGCCAGCGCCTTTATGCGCGCTGTTCTTTCTGCAAAAAGGGACAGTCGGGTCTCCGAGCTTTGGGCACAGGACGACTGCCCAGGGCGTGTACACACACACACACACACACACACACACACACGAGCCTTGCAGTCGAATGCTCTTACACTGCTCTAAGATGAAACTGCCGTAGGCTCCACGAGCTCTCTCGGGGGAGCGTCGGCCACCGGCAGAGGAGGACACGTTCTGCACAACCTCGGCCATAGAGGCTCAGCCCAGAGCGCCTAGGCAACCCAGGATCCAGGCACGAGTACGGACTCCGTCCCCGACGCCTTCTCCCGCAGCCCCCAGACCATGCGCCGACCCCATTTCTCACCCCACCCGCCCTCCCGCCCCACACCACCCGGGAGAAAATCGGAAAAAGCGTTCTGCTCACCCTCAGAGCCGAGAGGTCGATCTCATCCAGGCTGCGAGCCGGGGAGTCGCTCGCCATGGCTACTTCTTCGGCCGAGAAATAAAGCAAAGCCACCCCGAAGCTTCTCCCTTGGAAATGCCACCTTGGTCTGTTTCCCTCGCGTCCTCCTGCGGGTATCGAGCCTGAGGCTCCGGGCCCAGCCTCCCCCGCCCACCCCGGCCCCACAGCGCCGGATCCCAATCCTCCGCGGCGCGCCGGTCCTCCGGGTCCGAGAGCCCAACCTGTGCAGATCCCCAAGCCCGGAGCCGCGGTGCGTGTGGGCTGCGCGCCCCGATCGGCTAAGGGCGCTGGGGCTGCGTGGGTGTATTTAAATGGGACATGCTTCTTTGCTTGTGCGTGGATGGCGGCTGCATTGGCTGTTATAATGAGACACATCAACTCCTCCACTCAGCTGGGGGGTGGGGGTGGAGAACCACACAGAACTGTCTATCACCGCTTCCTGGGAGGAGTAAAAGGGGGGAGGCGGAGGGGGCGTGGTCTCCGACTGGGGAGAGGCCGCGCTTCCTGACCCCGTCCCTCTGCACCCGCGTGCTTGGGGGAAGGGCGCGCTCCCTTCCGCCCAGGTTCTTGAGAGCTGATCGGGCTGGATCGCCCGGGCAGCCCCTGACCCTTGGCGTGCTTATCGCGGAGATTCTAGCTGTATTTGTGTGTGCCCAGTTCGTGCACTGCAGCAAAATGGCCCTTCAATTCCATCTTGGGCTTTCTCGGCGGGGTTCAAATGCTGAAAAAAAACAAAAAAAAACAGAAAAGGGGGGAAAAAAAACACAGCAGCGACGCACTCCCTTCCCCCCCGCCCCCCAACAATTATTTGTGGGACTGGAGTAAGGCGGGCTGGTGCAACTAGTGCATATAAGGACTTGTGTGCCGGGAAGGGGATCCGCCTCCAGGCGTGGAACGCGCGGGGGAGAAGCGCGCACGCACAGCGCGCTCGGCCTGGCGCTCCTGCAATTTGCAGCGTTTGGGGCTCGGGTCCCCTCCCACCCCCACAGCACCCCCCACCGCCCCCACCGGGGTGCTAGGCCGCCCGTCCCAGTGGCCGGTCACTGTGCTTCGGGGCTGACCAGTTTTGCCAGAAGCGGGAAAGCTGAGGAATCGGAGCTGCCAAGCGCCACACCCAGGACCAGCTGGTGCCGCAGTTGCGGGCGCATGGGATCTCAAAAGCTCGCTCTCGGGCGCAGTAGCTAGAAAGAAGCCTGAAGGTAACAGACTCCAAAGCCCGCGCTGCTTCAGGCAGCCCTCGCCGCCCGCCGAGCCCAGCCTTCCTCCTGCAGGCGGCATTTCCTCGCCCAACAAGCCCACTGCACCACCAAAGTTTGCCCGGCGGGTGCGAACGCTGGATTTCAGCGCACTGGCTGTCTCTTTTGGCAGTTGGGTGTTTTGTCACTAAACACCTGCCCCGCCGTGCAGCCTCCCTCTCCGGCCTCGGCCACACCGCAAACCCGTCGCAAGGAAACGCTGAAACCGAACTCTTCCTCGCCCGTCCCCTTCACATATAGCAGACGCGTGGAAAGCGTTCTTGGCCTGTCAGCTTCATCAAGAATTCACTGTGGCCAAATGCACAGAGCATTGCTAAGCCTCGGAGTAAGGCTTTGAATGAATGAATGAACGAATGAATGAATGAAAGGAAGCCAGGGCAGCTGCCATCTCATGCCTGCCTGGACCCATTACACCACTTTTGAACAGCAGTCTGTGTATGCTGAACTGCTTGTGGATAATACTGCACTTAGCCAGTCCAGTGTGGAAATACACCATAACATACTTGAAAGAGAAAAAAGTAGGGTCTGGCATGGTAGCCTAGCTGCTAGAGTCCTTGCCCTGCAAGAGCTGGAATCCCATATGGGCGCCTGTTCTAATCCCTGCAGCCCCTCTCCCCATCCCCTGGGACCCTGCACCAGCGTGTGGGAGACCTGCAGGAGGCTCCTGGCTTCAGATCAGCGTAGCTTAGGCGGTTGCAGCCACTTGGGGAGTGAATCAACACAGAAGATCTTCCTGTCTCCTCTCTGAGTATCTGACTTTCCAATAAAAATAAAATTAATCATAAAAACTACCTGAAAAATCAATGTTATGCGTCAAACGTTCCGACCTGTTGTTAAAAACATACTGCTTCTCATTTTCTTATAAAATGAGTCAGCATTCTGTATAAAAGTATAGTGTCATACGTCACCAGGTGACACCATGATGACATGAGCATGACGTCACGGCCCATCGTTGCCCTTAACTTTCCTTCCACACGTCATTTTCTTACACTTCCCCTAGACGACGTCCTGTCTCCATGCTGAAAGAAGATTAGGCATTGATATCTATAAACAACCTTTTTCTGTTTTTGGAACTTAAAACATACGGAAATCAACACTTTGTTCCCTCTCCCAGAAGTCTTCGTTGTATAGTCTGGGTTTTATTTGAAATATCACGAAGAGATGGTTTCTTGCGATGGGAGCAAGCTGTTCAGGCCAGGCGAGTGCCATGATCCTGGCATTCAATTCAACCCTGGGGTTTAGAATGAGGTTGGAGAATTATGGATGCTCTCCAGTGATTGGTACCATGCAGAGGAGAGCGTGGGCGAGCCCAGTGCAGGCGGAAAGGACTGTTGGCTACAGGGAAGGCTGTCAAAGGAAGGACTGTAACAGCAAAGGTACCTTAGCCGGAAGAGGTCAGTGAGCAGGTGCCCTGGGCCTCTGCGAGAGTGCAGGTGAAGCAGAGGGGAGAAAGCAGCCAATGTCCTATCAGGCGTAGGTTTGCATGCCGGGAAGGAACTTCAACTTATCTCTTTGGTCAAGTGTATATCATGTTTCAAATGTTTCAGTGCAAGCTTCCTAATTTTCACCATGTCCATACACTACCTTCTTTGACTACTTACTTAACAATTTTTTTTCCTTTCAAATCAGCACATTTCCTTTTTTGTTGTTGTTGCATTTAAAAGAAAACATGAATTATTACATAATTGGAAAACTACTAATACTTACTTTAAAAATACATAGGAAAAAAGCTATTAAAATCAATATAAGGGAAATAAAGCAGTATTGTCCAACTCAGATTTCTAACCTAAGTGCTGTGCTTAGTTTCTTAGCAGACACAGGCGTTTGTCCTAGCTGCCACTTGGGGTATCGAAATTTCACACTGCAATACCTGGGTCAAAGTCCTGGTTCCTCTTGTCATTCCAATTCCCGCCAATGTCCGTCCAGGGAGACCGAATCCCTGCCATTCATGTGGGAGACCTGGCCAGAGTCCCCAGCTCCTGGCTTTGGGTGGCCCATCGCTTGATGTTGTAGCCATTTCTGGAATGAACCAGCAAACCAGAGGATGTCTCAATCCATCTCTCTGCCTTTTAAAGAAATAAAGATTCCTAAGTCACATAAAAAGAGAAAATAACGAATGTCTGGAAAGACATCGCAAAATTGACAAAGGTGAGATTTTCTTGTTAGCACAGTCTCAAGAACGTGGAGAACTGACCCTCTCTGCATGCAGCTGGAAAGCCATTATATTTGCCTGTCTCAGCCATGGTGGGAAGCACAGACACCAGCAGCTAACACACAGAACCACCTCCAAGAAGAAAGAAGGGGGAAGAATGCTTCGATGGGGATATCTTATTTATTTATTCAGAAATTAGCTTATATTAGGCCAGCAATGTAGCCTAGTGACTAAATCCTCACTTTGCATACACCCAGATCCCATATGGGCACGGGTTCATATCCCTGCTGTTTTGCATCCCATCCAGCTCCCTGCTTGTGGCCTGGGGAAGCAGTCTAAGTCCTTAGGACCCTGCACCCGTGTGGGAGACCCAGAAGAAACTCCTGCTCCTGGCTTTGCATCAGCTCAACTCTGGTTGTTGCGGCCACTTGGGGAGTGAATCAGCAAATGGAACATCTTTGTCTCTCCTTGTCTGTAATTCTGCCTTTCTTTAAAAATAAATAAACCCTTTTTCAAAAAGAGAGATTAGCTCATATTGTTAAATATTTGGAATTATTAAACTAGGATGGTTAATAACAGATCTCCATAAATTATTTTCTATTTTAATGTATTTTTTATCACTTTTGTGTTTTAAAAAAGTATTCAACAAAAATGCTTAAAAAGGAGGTGTTATGTTCACATTAGATATAACACTATTTAATGTCAGGACTGTGCAGTAAGTAAATGATTCTGGAAATCAAAATCACTGTGGAGCTTCAAAAAGTGCATATCACATATCTTTTGTCACCACAGATGTATATACAGATCTGTAGTTATTACTAAAACAAAAAAAATTAAGCATTTGTTAGAGCAAAAGGGAAAAAACGAACATAAGTGGTCTAGATTCAAATCACTTCCTAGATTCATATAACAGGCAGCACTGGATTGCCAGTCCAGCCACAAACCAAAAATCTAGGTAAAAGCTTAAGGAATTTCAAACGCCAAGACTATAACCATGAGAAGGCGCATTTACTATAGTGAGCAACTAAATAAAGTCAGGTATTTCTTCTTCCGTTCAGGTCACAAACATATAGAGTGTTTATTTGGGGCAAGACATGATACCAGGCCCTGAAGATAAAGGCTTGTGAGCACAAAGTCCTTGTATTTGCTGACATAAACAATAAGCCTGCAAATAAATAATCACCCTCAGAGATTATATACACAGTGATAACTACTACCTAGAAAAAAGAAAAAAAAATAAAAAATAACCCTAATCATAATGATGAAACTGAGCGAGTGACCATGAATACCAGCCCTTATACACACTCTGGGAGTATGGACGCTTGGGCCAAGGCATCAGGATGGCACCACAAAGAGCTGCTCCTCCAGGTGCCAGGAGAAGTGGGAGCACACATACATGGTCCTGCGCTGCACTGTGTCCTGTCCTGGCCCCCTTCCCACCACGGTTAGCAAAGCAAGTAGTCATAATTACAGCTAGCCCCATAGGCAAAGGAGAGTTCAAGGAATAAGCACAGGATTTCCAACTGTTCGTGGAACTCTACGACTGTGCGAGAGGCCCCAACTTCAATCAGCACACAAGATCAGCACCCAAAGTAATTAATGGAGCAGAGCTTGATAATGTGGCTTTTTATCCTTGGAGAGATAGTGCAGGAGTTTGTATTCATAAAACAGCCAAGTCATTACAAAAATAAACCAGCCAGAGAACTAATTAAGAATGCATTTATTAAATGAAAAATAAATAGATGGAATAGGAAGCAATGTGACTGTACAGATATTCTTCTATGCGTTTGTTAAGGTCTGCAGGTTTGTGCCTAAAATCATTGGTTGGAAACTAATCCAGATTGAGATGGTATTAAAGAAAAAATAGGATGTGTATACTTCACCCTCATGCGTGGAAGGAAGGCTCTTAGAAAAGACTCACAAGTCGGATCAGCATTGTGACACATCGGGTTAAGCTACCACCTGTAACATTGGCACCCTGTTCAAGTCCCACCTGCTCCACTTTGCATCCAGCTCCTTGTCAATGCGCCTGCGAAAG